ATTGCGATTACAATTTACTGTATAAGTATTTGAAATTACACGATTAAGAAATTTAAATTTATAATTGACACAGAGCTTACATATTGAAATCTGTTATTTAAAAAAAAAATGATGAAGTCAGGATAAAAAGACATAATGAAGTGCAATGTGTTAAATGAATTCTACGAGAGAGAGAGGTTTGTGGGTTTGGAGTATTGGGTTTGTGGGTTTGGGGTTTGTGGGTTTGGAGTAATGGGTTTGTGGGTTTAGAGTATTGGATTTCTGGGCTTGAGGTTTGTGGGTTTGGCAGTTTAGGGTTTGGGGTTTTGGGTTTGTGGGTTTGGAGTATTGGGTTTGTGGGTTTGGGGGTTTGGAGTTTTGGGTTTGTGGGTTTAGAGTATTGGATTTCTGGGCTTGAGGTTTGTGGGTTTGGCAGTTTAGGGTTTGGGGTTTTGGGTTTGTGGGTTTGGAGTATTGGGTTTGTGGGTTTGGGGGTTTGGGGTTTGGGGTTTTGGTTTGTGGGTTTGGAGTATTGGGTTTGTGGGTTTGGAGTATTGGATTTGGGGTTTTGGGTTTGTGGGTTTGAAGTATTGGGTTTGTGGGTTTGGTGTTTGGGGTTTGTGGGTTTGTTGGGTTTGGGAGATTGGGGTTTGGTGTTTGTGGGTTTGGGGTTTTGGGTTTGTGAGTTTGGAGAATGGGCTTTGTAGCTGTCTTCCATGTAGTAGAAAAAAAGATCCTCACCAAAAATTATAAAGTTTGAACCAGATTTCATGCCTCTAGGTGGTTTTGAACCTATTGACTACAATGTGCGTCGGAAGAGGCGAACGATTCCGCGAATGCGTGCGAAGATCCGGGACGCGATTTACCAAGCGAGCGGATCGAATTAGCAGCCTCCACGGTCGTAGATAATAATCCCACCGATACGTCGGATTTACCGATATCTACCCCAACCAAGAGAGGTCGAGATCGACCTCGAAAGGTCCCAGAGATGGTCACCGGTTCAGTAAGAGGAAACAACTCTGCCATGAAGGAAACAAGCGGGAGTGGTAGGCCTCCAAAGACCGTGCCCGTCGTGCTAAGGACGGTTGGGCCGATAAACCCGAATGGTAAACGATGAGGGCCATGACGTTCCCGCAAAGAATCGCGAGGGAACGTATAACTCGGTGGGATGCGGCCTATATTAGGGTTTTTCTTCGCGCAGGGAGTTTCATCCGAGATTTTTTGTTTTGAATGTTACAGATGGACAGGAGAGTCGTCGTCGAAGAGGAGACCTTCGAGGTGGTCACGCAGATGCTATTAGATCTGCAAGTGGGCCTTGATGCGAATCAGTTAATTGAAGATCTGCGGAACTTCGCCAAGGTCCAGTTGGAGGGGACCACCCGAAGGGAGCACCACAATGCTTCGGTGGCAGACGTTTTCCGGGATTCATCGTGGGTCGCCTCGAAGAAGGCTTCCTGGGACGCTTCGTCACAGACGGAGGACCAGGACAGTGTCGAGCGTCCCAAGTCCACAGTGGTCCAGGGGGTGCAGACCCCCAAGTCCGGCGTACCCCAGACGTCGGACAGTGCGAGCCAGTGCCGAGGACCCAGGGAAACCTGTGGGGCATCGCACTGGGCCTACAACCACCCCCGCATTCCGGAGCAGCCTACTCTCCTCCTCGACTTCAGACACGTACGTCTGGGGATTAACGAGGTGGAGATTGCCTGGCGCGGTTCGCCCAAGAGCTTCAGTCAGGTGCTCCTGCACCTGAGACGCTTCATGAGCCGCCAGGGCGCAGAAGAACTGCTCGGGGAGTGGGCAGAGATGGCTCAGCGTCAGAGGGCATACGGAGAGGCCCTGCTGCGGGTGGACAAGGGACAGGAGCAGAGAGCCCTGGGAGCTACTGGCACTGGACTAATGCTCACGGTCCATGTGGACGAGCGTATGGCTCCAGATATCACAATCGTGGTCAGGTCACAAGATGGTCGTGCGACCGCCACGGTGGGGACGTCACTATTACCGCCTCCCAAGGAGGCAACGTCCAGCAGCCCCCTTTGACTGCTGAGCAGCCTACACAAGATCGGGAGGCTGCTCAATCTCGATCGCAGCTGAGAGGCTGCTTCATCTGTGGGGAGCCTGGGGTGACCAACTCCCAGCGGTGCCCGAAGAAGGCTACATACTGGCACTACTCGAAACATCGAGCGCCAGGTGTAGCCAAACGATGATGTAGGCCCTGGAGGGCAATAAAATTAGCCAAAATAAAGAAGGGAGTTTGTTATTTGGTCCCTTTCCTTCTTTATTTTTTCAGGTTCCTGATGGCGGCGAATCGCGGGTATTCGTCCTGCCCAGGTAGTCAGGACTTGGAGGGGTCTGTAACGGTAGTCGATTTAATTAATCGAACCGTTCGCGATTCTGCTTCTCGCGCGTTAGTTATAACAATTAAGAGAGAGAGGACGCGCGCGATCTTTTGAATAAGCAGTTACGCCTAAGCTGCTCACGCGAGTTTACCGCCGATTTGTGTTTCGCACTTAGTTTGGCCAAAATAAAGTTTCCTTGGGAGAATTATGTGCGTGTGTGCAACGACAGTATTGCAGCAGCAAGCAGCGGTGCAGAAGCAGCAGATTGCAGCAGATAAAGGCAGATCGAAGTAGCGCAGCTGATTAATCGAGGGGCAGCGACAGTTGATATTTTCCATCAACAATTACGGCTGATCACCGTAATTGCACCGCATGGTAGGTGCACCCTCCGTCATTATATGCGATACAAAATACATTCGATATTTTATCTAATCGTGTTAGCATTATATTTTGTATTCGCGTCGAGCGTTAGTTCGCGGTAGAATTCGAATCTTCTCTCTCTCTCTCTCTTTCTTACCGAACATAGTTAATTGTAAAATCCTATTCGCGTGCGTAGTCTTTCGGCCCTACAAAGACTGTAGTAATTTTTATTAATTAAAGTCTGTTAAATATATTCGCCGTTTTCGTAATTTAATTTTCCTAGTAGCTTAAGTAATTGAAAAAGGCTTAGGTTTTAATCCATTTACATCTAGGGGATTAAGAAGATTAGGAGTAAAGTCGCTCACACTTAAGACTCATCGAGTGTCACAAGACACGTGACTTAAGGTGAGTTCAACTCCGTTTGATAGAAGACAATTAGACATATTAGACAGGGAAATATCAAAGACAGTAAAATTAAAATTTAAATAAATTTCTAAGTTTTCAGTTCACTTTTAATCTTTTTAATAACGCATAGATATTTAGTAATTTTGAGGAAAGTGATTTAAGACTACTTGTTAGAAAAGAGTTGCTTAGATTGTCTACGAGAAATAATAAATATTATGATCTTTGAATAAACTTTTCCATTGCAATCATTTATTTTATTGTAACGTCGGATAAATGATATTAATTCTGAATTTTATTTTTTACTTCTATTACGACTAAAGCGCATCAAATTGTACAAAATTTGGAACACAATTGGAAAGTGAAAATACGTTGAAAAATTTCTCTTTTCAAGGTTCTTTCAGATTTCTAGAAAATACAAGCTGACCTACTAGCCTGGAATTTAAAAAAGGCTATACGATAAAAATCTAGTACTTCATTGCGTGCTTCTATATGTCCTTGCACTTATGGCATGGGGTGCCAATGCCTAAACCCCATATGGAGCGCAGAGAGAAAAAAAAGATATAAAACTCTTCTCACGCGTTTCTCTTAGAGTTTCACTTTTCCGTTTAGGATCATATAAAAATTTACAATAACAAAATATGAATTTGTTTATTTAGATGAATTAATTCTATAGGTAAAATTAGTCGTAATAATAAATTTAGAAAAATCATTTTTATCCAATGTATAGTTACGCGTAAATAGACAAAATTAAGTTGTATAATTTTAAGTTTCAAGTTACTTTCTATTTAAGAATCGATTTCCATTAAGCAATAGCATTTTGATTTTATATATTCACTTCTGTTACTAAAATTAAGCAAAATTGAAGACGAAAACAAATCAATTTTAAGTTAAATTATAAATAAATAACATTTGAAAGTTAAAAATAACTCTCAAGTTGTTATTTATACATTAGACAAAAAAATAAATAATAGTTAAGTAATAAAAATTTTGTTAAGTCCTTGCACGTTATAAGTTTAAACAATAGCGTATTTTGTGCACGATTTGGCATGAGTAACTCCAACTTTGTTGGAAAACTCGAGAAAAAAGTGCAGTCTACGGTGTCTTTCACTCTTGAGAGAAAATTTCCACCAATCACTTTTGGAGTTTACATTCCCAAATCTTTCAGAGTCTCTTGCGGTTTTATTTTGAAAAAGAGCGCATCCCGGGGGAATGAGTTCAGTAGTGTGCGAACTGTTTGCCACTGCTACGCCATCCACAGTTAGGACTGCCACGCTTTCCAGACCTTCTCTCTCTCAGTGGCAAAGACTAGTTTAGAGTCAAACATAATTTCATCCTTTTCTGTTGTGGGCGTGCAAGGCTCAATTTTCAAAGTTTTCAAATTGTGAGCAAGGATTTAAATCTTCAATAAAAGTAAGTTTAAATTAAATTTATAGATCACATAACTTCCTTTTAGTAACCTGTCTTCAAATCAAATTTCCCCCATTCCGTATCGCTCGGTCCTCTTGTTGCAAAACAAGTTGGATACAATTGATACTTTGGTTAACACTCAGAACTTGGATCAATAAGATCTTCATAGTATTGAGTGGAATCTATAATTGATAATTCTCTGTGCCTTCTGAAAATATTGACGCTAGAATAATCGATTTAGATTCAGGGATTAGAAAAGAACCTGCGCCGTGCAGATAAAATTTTCTGTATTTTAGCCAACATCAATCTTTCCTTACCCGGGTAAAGTGAAAAATCACAGCCCGAAAAGGATTAGAAATTCCCACCTCACAAATAGTAGACGTAACATTATGATAAAAATTTAATTAAACGTAGGTGTTAAACACAAAAATAAATTAGTAATATTCAATTAGATAGTACTTCAGAAAATTTCAGGAATATAAGAATACTAGAATGAAAAATTAATAAACTTACAGATTTTTCGATATCGATATCCAGAAATTCATTTGACACTGCTTGAATGTGGATATTTTTATCAATTTTCGCATCTCTTTTCATACGATTTTCAGGATGATTCAGAATTCTATTTCGGCCAATAGGTGTGAACTCCTGAAAAGAAGTATAATTTAAGTGATTTATGCAATCAAATCTCGTTGACAAAACAAATTATTCGTTGCATTCATTTAAATTCTCAAAGTGTAATCAATTCTTGCTATAAAGATTGCATTCGTTAAGCGCTGCTTTGGGGGCATAAAAGTAAGCAAGACAGTGACATTAGAGAGAGAAAGAGAGAGAGTCGACAAGGAGCAAGCCAGCTAGTTTGCTATAGGCGAGGATAGGTACGAGGAGAGAGGGACAAAACAGGACGAACCGGCAGTAGACTATCCGGCAAGTAAGAGTCACGTGCTTCAACCGTCTTTATATTTTTTGGTCCTTATAAAGTTACCTGTTGCTTTTCAACAGGGCATCCTCATAACCCAAAAGAAACTAAAAGGTAGTGGTGCACAGAAAATTGCTAGTCAAAAGTTGAAGATAATAGCAGGGTCAAACAATAGTAATCTTGAGTTCGACCTTCAGGTTGATTTTTAAGGTTAAATCAAAGTGGTTTCAGTTCTTTTCATGGAAATCGATACTTATTATTTTCTTAATGAGAAAATACGTAAAATGTGTTTTTTTCTGCATGAAAAGAGTCTTTTAAAAAGACGTTAGAAAGCATGATCTTCTTTATTTTTAAAACAAAATCTTTTGAAATTCCGAAAATGTTTTTTTAACTAGGCCGAGTGTTGAAAATAAGTGTAAATTTTATATCAATACAAGATTAGTAACCGAATTATAATCAAATCACAATTCGTTCTATTTTTCATATTATACAGGGTGGACCATTTTCACCCTTGCAGGGGCAGCGTATCATGTTTGATACATCTAAATTTTTTCAGTTTTTTATCCATACCACGACCGTTCTTAGCTCAATCCCTCTCGAATAAATTTATATACTATCATTAGTATTTAGGCTTCGTAATACTTTGATTACAAATTTGAAAATTTATTTATTCAATTATTTATAAACAATCAATGACGGAAAATGTTCAGTTTTTTCGAATAAATTTGATCTTGGACGTAGTTTTCAAGATAATTACATGTGGTGGTGACCTTGACTTCAAACTTGGAGATAATTTTCAAGGTCATTTGAAGGTCAACTCTGTTTTTTTAAATCGAACCCCCTATTTTTAACTCCGGATACGGAATATGAAAAGAGCGGGAAATTCTACGTTCAAATGAGGTAATAAGTGGGATTAGAGATAGCATTAAAAGTAGTCAAGATATAAAGAAGAAAGCAAAATACGACAGTGCTTGAATCATAATTGTTTAGTGCAATAATTTATTTCGATGTATCTTATTAATTTTTCACCATATACGTTTTATACGATGTTCACATATTGTCGTTTGTTGAGTGTCGAATTATAATTTTCAATAAGTCACTAAAAAAATATTTTTTATTCAAACATGCTTTTTTTCAAAAACTACCGCTTATTCTGTTCTCAAATAAAAGTTTGAAATAAATAAAATCCTAAAAATATAAGTACAAAAGTTGCTCTAAAAAATAACCAATAAATAACGATAAATAAAAAACTACCGATCCGGCGAGTGTTGAAGCGTTAAAGAAACAGTACACTTCATTTGATTTTGCTTAAATGGTTAATTAATTTAACATGAATATTGTAACGGAGAATTCCGGCCGTACCCGTCTGGGCTGCTCGCGACCGTCCGCACAAATTATTTATTCGGGGATTTGGGAAGCAAAAGACGTTCCCACGACTGAATAACGCGTCGAGCATAAACACGTTAAACGCACAGATTCGGAGTCGGGATGAGGAGTGATACAGCGGCGAATAAACACCACAGCGGATTAATACGCTAGTCTTTCATTGTCAACAAACGATTACAATACGGCAACCTCGGACTTACACACTACGAGCGGTACAATAACAAACGCGAACGCGAACGTGAATCGGTGGCTGGTCAGCCTGCCGATTCCCTTATAAAAACTAGATATTATACAAATGCCCGACAAACACTTTTCGCTGATAGGCTATTAACGGGTAGCCAGCAGGTCAGCTGTGCTACCAACCATAGACTGACGCCCAAACATGCAAGAGAGAAAGAGAATCAAGAGAAAAATACGGCACCGACCTCGACCTTCAGCCTCTCTGACGGCTAGAGCGCTCTTCAGTGTGACGTCACTGGTGTGCTCCTCGCTGACCGTCTCGCTGATACTTGTTGTCGCCACTATTTGTTTTCTCGCTCCACAATATTGCCGCCTCAACCGCAACCCGCTCGTTGATCGTTGTGGCTGCTGTCTTCGCCGCCCTTTTATTGTCCTGGACGACAGCCCGTCCTGACTGCTCGCGCACGCACCCGCGCACCGGTGCCGGGTATACTTCGGGACACGGCTGGGCGCGACCCAGCCTCACTCTCCGATACTCGTCCGCGCACCAGGCGTGTCTCCAAAAACGAACAAAACGTTGACGAGGTCTCGAGGCCAACTCGAAAAACCGTGACCTTTCGGTTTATCCGCGCGCGCGACTTTCTCTGCTCATTGCTTAGCAGAGACTCCCGAATTTTCCGCGGCGATCCGCAATTCGAGCGCTCTCTCTCTCTCTCTCTCTTTCTCTTTCTCTCTTCTTCTGCGCCATCTGCGTCGCTCCAGTCGTCAGCTCAGCCCGTGTTCAGCACCTCGCAAACAAAAAGTCCAAGCATGAGTGTGTGTGCCAAACGTACACACTCTCAGCCTGGCACGGCGCACGGACATTTGCGAGAGCTAAACGGACGAGATCGGCCTAGCCGAGATTCTCCGTCACAATATTAAAAATTCATTTCAAACAAATAATAAACATACGACTAGTATTTTCAATTATAGTACAGTAGTATTGACATCGTTAATGTAACGGTCCTATCTATGAGCTATTTTCGTATTTCGCTGAATCACTGCAACCCGCTAAACTCATCAATCTGTTTACATCAATTTGCATATTAAATGGCGCCACCTCATATATTATGTGATTGTCTTAGTAGCAGAGTCAAATTTCATGACCATATAACGAGCGTGACGTCACCTACTTATAGATATAGATATAATAGTTTTTTCTATTTTATTAAAATATGTTAATTAAAAGTAATTTTGATGAAACAAAGCATTTTATATAGACTTTAGGACATAAATTTAGATTATAATAATTTTAATTGCGTTTAATTACTAAATTATATTGAATTTTAACATGCAAAATTAATTTGTTTATTACATTGTAAATATTAATTATCAGAATAATGCAGATACTCTAAATTCACGATAAATATCTTAGAAACATGAGTAAGAATTGGTTTCGTTGATAACAGTCTAATTATTACTTTTATCAATAAACAATTAATAATTTATTTAAATATATAATTTGTGACGGTAAACGTCCTATTAGCGCTAGCAGCCCAACCATGCGGCTGCCTGCGAGGGCAGCACCTATCGGTTGGGGAAAATGTGTGTAACGAGGGAATTCGGCACGAGACGGGACGGAACGCGCGCGAAGATAAATGAATCAGTCGAGGATTAGCTATACGATCTTTCAGCCGTTTAACAGCAAGTCAGAGTTCTCCGCCAAAAGAAAAATCTCCAAAGGAAATAAGCAGTGAGCCCGCCGATCTTACGAACAATAGGTGTGATATTTCCGCGCTCGCGACAACTGAGTGCGTGTGAGTGAGCGTGAGTGGGTGTTTTCGCCATCGAGGGCGAAAACCGAGAGCGGACTGTGCTCATGAAGGACGGGCGCTAACGAATTTGCCTTCTTTCTCGTTGCGAGTAGTACGCTCAATACAAAGGTAAGCTGGCCAGTTTAGTATCGTGATTTCTTGTAAGATTGCTAATAACTAATCTCTCGTGCTCAGTAAAAAGCGTGCATGCATTAACTCGACGAACAAAAAGCCGCGAACGCTCCGACACTGCATGTTATTGACGCGCGCGCGCTTTGTAAACATAAACACGCGGGCCGAATATATTGTGGAGAAAAGAGAAAATAAACGATCTCGCATGTGATATTGATTGTAATATTGATGTTATTATTTCTCGCCGGTAGAAGGTTGATTGACCGACTCCCGTTCCCTCCTGCTCTCCGGTTGGCGAGTTTGAACGTTTCGACAATTCCGCGCACTCATCGCGCGCATAAATAAAAAGACGGAGCACCGACCCCGTTATAAATTGTAGATCGAAAGCATTAAATTTGTACATAATAATGATAACTTTATAATTTATTAATCTTATGTAACTAATTTAGGATTTGCATTATAAGATTTTACAAAAAACCGTTACAAATACAAAAATTTATTATAATTCAAATGTTATTAACTAATTTAAGCATTTCATTTTATAAATTACTTCTACTAGTGATAAACTATTAATCTGTGTAAAATTTTATTATTGTTTTATTGAAAATATTGTGCTATCACATTAATTAACTTTATTAGTTAATAACTTTCGACGACACTCATTGCGATAATTCTATATTATACTAAAATGATCAATATTTACTTTTGTAAAGTTTACATGTTTTAAAATTTCATTATTGCTGTTTGTTCTCTTGTAAATTTGGAAAATGATTTCGCACAATTGCGTAAACGACTCGCAGAAAGCTGTCCTGCAAAAATAGGCCTAGCCTTGCAAAGTGAGCGCATGAGATTGGATAAACTTGACTAATATCTAAGTTCTTTCTATCAAGTGATTAACTGGGCAAATCCTCTCTTTTCCTATTGTAATTTATGCTCGACTCATAGAACACTTCGCGCTATGAGAAACTTGGGCTGAATCACATCCTTTTATAAGAAAGACTTAAACTCTGCTTATGAGTCACTTCGCACCATAAGAAACTAAGGTAAAGTCTATCTTTCCTTGAAATCTCACACATATAATCATATAATATTTATTATTTTATTTCAAAGTAATAATTAGAAGCATTTTGAAAAACGAAACAAATTCTTACTCATTAACGTGACAGACCACGAGATGATGAACAATAATATAAATAATAAGTGATACGAACATCACATTGGGCGACCGTGACAGGACT